TCTCTCTCTCTCTCTCTCTCTCTCTCTCTCTCTCTGTCTCTCTCTCTCTCTACGTCGTTGATACTCCGTCATGGAACCTACCAAGCGTAGGTGAATAACGCGACAACAGTGCTAACTTAGATACCGAATCGACACAACTATTGCCAATGGGCAAGCACACCCAACGACGGCGTTACAATGAAGCACATGTATTAGCAGGTTGGCGGACTTACTAGCAACTAGGTACTACGTGACTTAGAGCTCATTGCTATGTTCGATGGGTACTAGCTACTAATCATAACGTTTGTCTTTGGTAACAATTTAGCAATATTGCTTCGTATTTGTGCACACACACACATGCATGCGCGCACGCACACACACACACACATGACTAACACTAATATGATAGTAACTATATTAGAATAGTAGTGAGGGTGACATCACATATAATATAGATGCAGTTTTTCACACCAAAGATGCTGTCAAAGATAAAATATCTGGCAGAATATATATGGATAGAGATGGGTCTCCATTTAACAATTATTAATGGAATCTTTCACACTATAAATGCTTGGACACACACACATATATATGTAGAACATAGTATAGGGTAAGATATATATTAATGACAAATTAGGAATAACTCAGAAAACAACGAACGTAAAATTGGGACTCATCAAAACTCATAGCAAACAATAACAGACTCAAACCCGAATGCACGAAGTTTGACGGTGAAAAATATTTTACATCAACGTAACGACATAACCGAAACCCAGCATAATGAATTATAAGCGACGAATGCGGTCTGGTCGCAAGTTAATTAATAGCCTGCCATTTGCAATACCTGTGCAAACATGGCCGCCACCTATGCCTGTACAAACATGGCTGCCACCTATGTCTGTGTAAACATGGCCGCCACCTATGCCTGTGCAAACATGGCCGCCACCTATCTCTGTGCAAACATGGCCGCAACCAATGCTGCCACTGCAGAAATGAACACCCGCACGACTGGAATTACTCCGCGACACAAGCAAAACCATTGCTGACACAATCTCGTGACACTTGGCGAGAATTTCAATCACCGTAATGTATTAGAATATCATTCCAAATATTCAAAAAAAGCGAGGTCACTATAGTCCCCACGTCTGTCTGACACTCATCTACGACAACGATGCAACGCGGCCTGCAACTGTCAAGTGGTGACAGAATAGCATTAATGTGCTTCTTGCAGACATTTCTGAAAACTAAATATATTACGCTACTATACACCATTGTTATCGTAATCCTGTTGATAAAACTTATGCATATCTATTTATATATATGTATGTATATATATATTTATATTTATATGTGAAGCAATACATCCTCATGCGACTTCCCAATGTAAACCAGAAATCATCTCTGAAACAGGGGTTATAAACAACCTGTGCACGCGAGTCGAAGCTCAGAAGTTTATTTTAACAAATACAGCCACTAATTACTAATTAGTGATTAACTAATTAGTAATTACTCATCGTAATTACAACCGTACGTGCAGGCATTCAAATGACACGCACCCGCATCTACGTGCGTCAAGTGCTAGAGAATAATTTTGCATTCTCTTTGGAACTCCTTCCGCGTCTAGCGTAACAGAAACGTGCTTTTCTACGCGCACGCCCGATTACGTGTGTTAACGTGAGGGGTTAAGCAATGTTCAACGTTACAGACATGTTACTCAGTGCTGTAATGATTGCTGGGTGGCTGGGGGCAGTATAGAGAGAGTGTCACAGTCACTCACGGTGTCACAGTCACTCTCAGTGTCACAGTCACTCTCAGTGTCACAGTCACTCTCAGTGTCACGGTCACTCTCAGTGTCACAGTCACTCTCAGTGTAACAGTCACTCTCAGTGTAACAGTCACTCTCAGTGTCACAGTCACTCTCAGTGTCAGTCACTCAGTTAAATGCTTTCATTCAGAGAAAACCATCGTTCGTTACAGAGACCGCATATTTTGGGAAAAGGTGACCGTAGAAGTATTGTCCATCAGGACAACACCATGCTTCTATACACACGCTCTACTCACTACTAAAAATTGCTGTCTCACTGCAAAAACCCTTCGGTATAGTTGGTCGCGTAATGCCGCACATGAGTGTCCCAACAACGCATCTCCTCGCTTCTCATAAATAACACAGCTGCTCACTGGAATGTCACTGCCCACACCGCCGCACGCGGAATACGTCTGCGATTAATACATCGCGTCTGCAAATAAAATCGATTAAAACGCTCATTAATTAAGCTGCGAGTATTACATGCACAGTCTATCCCCAGTGAAGACCGTGTAAGACAACCACCGTGTCCGGCCGCCGCGTGCGATTCCTCACGACAGCCGATTCATCTTCCGGATCTCCAACGTGGAGGCGCGCGAATTCAATTCCTTCCGGAACCTTCCTCCGAACACCCTTCCCTACGAGCATCCGACCTCACTCCTATCTTGTTTACGTGTTGCGGGGGACGCTCTCTCTCCGTGCTTTCCTCCCCCCCTCCTCTCTCTCTCTCTCTGTCCCTCCCTCCCTCTCTCTCTCTCTGGTTCACTTCCCACTCTGTGAAGATCCCCAGCTTAGCTGCTGAGAGCGTTCAGGTCACTGAGAAAGCCTTCAGGTGTCAGAATATGAGTGGAACCTGCAGTGAGAAACACACGCACACAGACCTTCGTTACAACACCGGTTTAAAGCAAACCACCAAAAAATTGCGTCAAACGTTATGAAAACACAACTTTCTGGTAAAATACCTCAAGGTGAGTAATAACACGGTAAAATATTATTGTTTAGTGTTGTATTGAAAAATACACATAGTTGGGTTCCATATAT